CACACAATGAAAGCATGTCTTAATTCATTTCACCCTCGGGAAAATCCTGCGAGGCATATACTATTATTTATATTTTATATTCAAAGAAATCGAGTCATAAGGAAGCGACACAACTTCCCTAGAGCTAATTATAGTGGCAGAACCAAGATATGATCCCAGTGTTGCTGGGACCCAATAGACAATGGCCCTTTTGTCCCCAGGCCCTTCTTGCTCATCACTCTGTAGACTAATAGCCTGTTTGATTTTCTATGTGGCATTTATTTTTTGCCTGTTGAAATGATCCTATTATTATTATTATCATTCACTAAATCTGTCTACTCCACATCTACTCCATTGTGCTCTAAGTTCTACAGCAGCAGGGACTCTTGTTCACTGCTATTTTTGTCCAGACCTAGAATCATAGCCCATAGAGTGACGTCTAAATGAATGCTGCGTGAATGAATTATAGAGAAAATGCCAGGGGCACAGTGTGAATGGAAGAGCTGCTGGACTGGGGGTTGGCACTCTAGTTAACAATGTGGTCGCAGAATCATCCTGGCATGGAAACTAGACTGATGTGAAGAAAGGAGCAAAGACATCCATATAGGCTCAGTTCTAAGACTACCAGTAAGGAAAGGATAGCATTATGACTCTCTTTGATCATCAGAAAAGCTAGTAGGATCCTTCTTCCCTTGCAGCTTCAGAATCCCCCTCACTGCTGTTTAATGGTGTGAAGACTTGTCTCTGGCTCAACTTTACATCTGTCTTACTGCTAAAAACTGAAGAGATGTTTTGACCATAGAATTAGTCTGTCTTCATGTGAGTGTTCTCCTGCCTGCTATTTCCCAAGATCATCACGCAGGGAGCTGACCTTTCCTCATCCCTTTGTGTGGAGTCAGATGGTCTATAAAATAACAACAACTTTCCTTTGAGTCCTAGGAAACATCCCTGTCTTTCTTGTCCTATTTTCTACATAATTTTCAAAGTTGCCAAGAGCAGCACAATTATAATTTATTTTCTTGGACCTTAGACCCCAAAAGAGACCATAGAAAGGAATGACAGTGAGTGTCTCCTGGAGAGACTCTGAACCACTCTGCCCTGCACAGCTAATCGGAAACACTTCCATTGTGTGTTTCTGATTTCCAGGGTGTGTGCAACAAATAGCCTGTCATCCCTATATAGCATTCAGTACCAGGAGGTCAGTACCAGGAGGTGAGAATGGAAACTTAATAGCTAAAAGCTGAAGCCCTTAATGGTTTTGATTAGATCTTCCTTCAGTTTTTTCTAATTGGGTACTGGGATGAAATTACCATGGAAGGATTTTTTTCTCTAATAAAAACATTTATTTTGGTGCCAGATATTATATTTCTACTATTTCAAGGGAGGAAATGTTGCCCCTCCCTTTTTTTCAGATGAAGCAAAATGTGTTGTCTCTCAGCATGAATTAAAAATAGTCTTTTTGGAAACCTTTGTCTATTCCCTTGTTAGAAATCTACAAAGGCTAATAATTTAAATAGAGGGGCTGGAGAGGGCACTGGTTGCTTCTGCAGAGAACCTGGATTCAGTTCCCAGCACCTGAACGCATGGTGGCTGACACCCATCCTTAACTCCAGTTCCAAGAGATCAGATGCCCTCTCTGGTCTCTGTGGGCATTGCATGCACATGGTACTCTGAAACATGAGGCAAAACACTCATACATATAAAATAAAAATAAATAAAATCTTAAAAAATTTAAGTAGAACGAGTATTATAAATTATAAAATAGTTAACATTTAATATGCAAAATTTGTAACAGCCCCATTTGGCTTCATGATCCTCATGGGAAGTGTGACAGGAATTTGAGGGATCTGGCATTTTCCTTGTCAGGAACTTTCTCAGGGACTTCAGGATGTTCAGCTTCCTTGGACTTTGAGGAAAACCTTCCTGTTATTATGGTGACCCAAAACAACCTTACATGTTTGTGGTAGGCCTGTGGAGGTGGTAGTTCCCTTGTCTATGGCCTGGCTCAGGAGTCATAAACATAAATGCTCGCTGAGAACACAGACGTGTTAATCTATCATAACTGGAGGGGCACGTCCTGCCTATGGTTACCTGATTTGCTTAGACGTGATCAAAGTCCAAGTTTGAACCACTATGGTGTTGGTCCATAAAACTGCCCCTTATGAGAAATTTGGCTCCAGCCACCAATGTTCCCATCATCCATCACTCCAGCCCCTCTCTCCACTCTCTTCCTCGTACTTTATGATTCAGACGTATTTTCTTGGCAAACAGTAGGTCTGCCATAAATACTGGTTGGATAGGTGAGTGAATGGATGAAGGTTATTCCAGGCCTTTAACTCCATGTCACTCTCAAACACATCAGGATCATCCTCTCACCTCATGGCTTATGCTTTTCCATCTGCCCCTTTTGGTTTTCACCCTCATGACCCTTTCCTCTAGCCGTTTTCTATATGTCCCAGGTAGTGAGTCAATACCATGGTTTTTCTCCTCTTCTGGGTTGTGAACTCTATGAAGATGAGGACCTTGCTTTTATTTGTCCCTGTATCTCTACATCTAATAGCACACTTGGTGCATAGTAGTAGGCCTGCTGTAAACACTAGTTGCGTATGTGAATAAATGAAAATTATTCTTGACCTTTAAGCAAATTCTGAGACGTTTATATGAATAATATCAGGGTTTTAATTTCTCCCTTAGGCCACACCTGCTGTGTCTCCCTAGGTGGCTCCTTTGAGTTTTCTTTTCTTTGGAGTCCCTTCCAGGAGTGTGAACCAGGGCTTGCTTTTCTGTCCCCACATCTGTTTCATTCGTTCAGTATTGTACCAATTTTACTACAGATAGAGATCATTTTAACCTGACACTGTCAAAATTTGTCTTGTGAAGCCGAAAAGAGGAAACTAGCTGTGGGAAGAAAGGGGCCCCACTGGAGGGAGAGGGGAAGGAAGAGGGACACGGTATAGGGAACGATTGAAAATCAAGCAAAATGACATCTGTGTATCCAGATGCCATGAAGCTCAATGCTTTGTGTGCCGACATAAAAAAATCAAAACAAAGCCCAGAGAGTTGCTGTTTGCACAGCACTATTGTGCTTTGTCCATGAGCGTGTGTGACTTCCTCAGAAATGCCCAGTGCTGTGGCCTGTGAGTCTTCTACTCTAGAGATGCACTGTTTCTTGGTCCAGTTCACAGCAGAAAAGGAATTGCCTCTGCTGTAGGCTGATTAGTCCGTTGATGCTGGGAAATTATTTCAGTGGAGCTAAAAACTTCTCCCATTTCAAAGTAGAGACTTCCAGAGTGTCCCCTAGATGAACCCCCTTCCCTCCTGCCTCCCCCCTCTTACCTAAATGTAAATAGCTCCTTTGGGTTGGAACTATCTATGAGAAATAGTTTTCTTATTCTCCATCCTCTTCCAACCATCTTATTTTGGCTATAGCATCCCTACATGGAGCAAGAAATATGGTACCAAAGGTGAACTTCTCTGAACCCAGGCGCTTACACAATTGGGCCCTTAGGATTTTATGTAGAAAATCTTTTTTATGAATGTGTCAAACATACCCAGGTGCTTACAACATACTTCCTTTACTTTTTGTATTATTTCCTGAGAATGTCTTTAAATGTACAGAGAAATCGTCTGTCCACAGGCTTAATTTCCATCTTTTGCTTCCGTGGTCTGCATTTATTTATTTATTTATTTTAAATTTGGCTGATTTGTAAGAACACATACTTGACCAGCCGTTTGGTTTCCCACAGCTGATATACACATGCCCAGGGTGTTCCCCTGTGATTTTCAAGGCCTGGCTCTTGCCTGATAAGGTCAGCAGCACACAGCTTACCCACATCTGCTGTGTTCTTTGAGGTCAATCAAAGTATTCTTCCTCCTGGGACTAATGGGAATGTCCCAGAGAAACAATTATTGCACTTGAAAAGTCTATTGATCTACATTGTATGATTCACCCGGTGTTTGGGGTTCAGGGACTTTTCTAAAACTGGGAGATCAATTCTAGGGATTGAGAATGAATAGATACTTGTGAACATACCTCTGAGTATTTGCTGCTAGAATCACAGGGTGTTGAAAGCACTGAGCAGAGGTCAACACCACGGAGCATCCAGAATTAGTAACTTTGCTGATTGAATTATAAGTTTATGATAATAATTAGACACAACCATAGATTAACAATCAATCACATTGTTTCTCCATGGTGTGATTTCCCCCTTTTCTGTCCTTGCTCTAAATGCACAACCCATTCCTTCTCTTTGTCTCCTACTGCTGATCTGGATAGAAACAAGAGGAGCAGGTCACTCTCTATTGCAAAAAGTAAGACTGGGCTGCTACTTGTGAGGAAGTGCCCACACTGAAGCTTCCAGAAGAAATATGTGGTTGTAATGGTATTCTTTTTTTATTTTAAAATGTTTTATTATTTTTATGTTTTATGAATGTATTACCTACATGTATGTATGTAAGCACATCCGTGTTATGCAGTGCCTGTGGAGGTCAGAAGAGAGTGTTGGATTCTCCTGGAACTGGAGTTACAGATGGTTGTTGGCTACCATGTGGGTACTAGGAATTGAACCCAGGCCTTCTGCAAAAGCAGCCAGTGAGCTTAACCGCTGAGCCATCTCTCCATCCCCTGTAGTGGTAATCTATACATGACCACCCAGATCCAGGAACTGAATACTTAATTAAACTCTCAAAGAATTATATGACCATTGCTTCTCAGTTTTAATATAGTTTGTTGCAAAGTATTCCTACAGTACCAAGACAATTAATCTTATCCATTGTTCTTTTTGGAGAATTAGAAAATCTTACCTTAAATCCCAGGCATAATACTTATCTGTCTTTGTTTCAAATAGGGAAGATATTAACCAACTGAGTTGTATTGTGAAACACAAGATAATTCACAAAGTATTGAACATATGTGGCACACACATATTGGAGAATCTAATGAAAAATAAAGTGACCTAAGTGCTGAGTAGTCTTAGAGTGATGTCATTGACATATCTCATAATGATGAAATGAACTTTTGTTTACATGGAGATATTTTTTTTGAGCGATCATGAGATAAAAACTTCAAACTTGCTGTTGCTTGTGGATGGAGGACCAAGTCACTTCTCTGAGGAGTTTGTGTTGAGGTGCTTATTTAATTGCCATGAAATCTACCAGTCAATAAGATGTTATTAAGTGGTAACCTCTATCTTCCCCTTACCCTAAACAGGGTTAGTAATAGTGCCAGTCTCTGAGTCTGGTGATTATCAAGTGTGATAAAGAGCTGAGCATAGTGCCTAGCAGGCAGTAAATGTGAGATCACAGTCCTGCCACACAGTTGCTGCACCACCATAAAGCAGTTGAAAAGGAAGTGAGAATTTATTTCTAATCTTATTCCAGCTCTAAATATACTTTTACAATTTTGATAGCTCTATGACTTCAACAGTAAAATCAACACTTTTTAACTTGAACAATCCTAAATAACATTTTTCATATATGATAACCCACCATTTAAAAATCTTAAGATAGTGGGAAGCCCCAAGACAAACACTAAGCCACATTTAGCTGTTGCTCCCGTTCAAATGGGCGTTAAGTTTATGATTTGCCCATCATTCTAGTTGTAGAGACCTCAAATCTGTTTTAAAGCTTTTCCCCAGAAATATAACAAAAATAAATGATAAGAAACTAGTCTATTTAAAGTTTTCCTACCAATTAAAGAACATGTTTACAGGCAAAATGCTGATACATAAAGGCCTGATTGATTAGAACAATGGGCTGGCTTAATGTTTTAGAAAAAAAAATCCTTGGGAAATATCAATTCTTTATGCAAAATTAAACATGTTGCAAGCATCTCCTGACAACGTCTTTTTTTTTTTTTTCCCTGTCACCATTTGCCTCCAGGTGTGATGGCAGAGATGAATCATGAATGGGTAGCACCATAACAGATTTGGATACTGTTTTCAGACAGAAATGAAGTTCTTTTATTCGCTTCCTATTTTGTGTTTTGTTAACGCCTCCTTTTGCCAGTGGGACAGCTCCCCACTTCTTTTTTGGTTGGCTGCAGGCTGTAGCTTGATCTTACTATCAGGTAAGTTTTTGTCTTTTTCACAGTTTTAGGGAGCCAGGCCCGAGATATCACTCAAAACCTCAGGCTTCCCACTGTAAAATGCTCCCCTGTAGCTATGCATCCTTGCAGTTGAGTATATTGGGTTGGGGCTGTTTAGATGTCGCCAGATGACCGTAAGCCTTTTGCTCCCCTCTTCAGCGCTATAGTTTTCGGAATCTAGGCCAGTTCATTGCCTATGAATTGGTGGTAGCTTTCTGTTTAACAGCAGGTCTGACAATGGGTAGGTGTGAGAATGCCACAGTGGGCAAAACTGAAAACAACTGTGAGATCTATAGATTGGGATGGAGCTAGTAACAGCTAAGAGAAAGAGTAAGGAGGTAGGTGTGGTTAGGAAGATAAGTTCTTTTTGAGGTGAGGTGGCCCTGCCTTCAGATCGCCTTGAAGTGGAGATGCATCAACGAAGTATACCATAGCTATGTATTATATGTACAGAGCTAAGTGGATCACCTTGTGGTGGTTTATGTAATTCCTTCCAACATTTTTCACTTATATATTGCACAACATATTAATAGCGGTTAACTGTGCAGTTTGCTAGATAATCTCCCTCAACATTTGTCTATGAAGCTGCATCTACGGTGGACATACTCAGTTTTCTCACCATGCTGGGTTACCATTGAGGTTTTTAGTTGTGAAGGCTGAGAGATTTTTCCCTATAAGTTGTGTAATATCCCAAGTGCCTCCATTTTGTGTAAGTTTAACTGATCAATCTTCTGGTCATAGGACCACCCCTAGGAAGGGGGTGCTAAATAGACGGGTGGAATGCCTAGTGCATTAATGAGATAGCAAGGTTTTCCTGCCTGGAATCCCACCTACTGGGCAGAACTTCTGGACTAGCTACAGCCATGTAGTCCGTGAGTTTGTTCGCTTCCCTGAATTCTTCAGGGCAGCATAATTTCTCCTTTTCTTTATGGCTCTCCTTTCTTCTTTAAGGCTTTGGACGGCCACTAGCATCTTGTATTTCTTTACTTCCTCTAAAGCTTCCTTCTCCCAGCCATGTGGCTGCCAGTCAGCCATGTGTCTGATCGCCCACACAGGCTCTAAACCTGCATGGCTTCATGGCTTTCTTTCTTCCCACCATGCACCTCCTCAAGGCAGCTGCCAAGATTACCAGCTCACCTACCCTGAGGATTTCTTTTTCTTTAAAATTCTAATAAAATTGTAAAAGCTTAATTTGGCTGACTTGGAGCTTTTTGAGTCTGGGTAGTCTTTCCCAGTGGTCCCAAACTCCCTGTTTCATTCCCCAACTTCACAGACAGGTGACTAAGTGCTGGCATTTGGTGAGTTAACAAAAATATTAAAAGAGAACTTACAACACTGAGTCTGCATATGTGTGCTTGTCTTTAGCTTTAATCTTTTAAAAGTTTTTAATTTTTTAAATTTTATTTAATTATTTTTAAGTTTTATGTGTATCTGTGTTTTGCCTGCATATGTGCAAGTATACCATGTGCCTGCAATGTCTGAGGGGGCCAGAAGATGGTGTTAGAGCTCCTGGAACAGGAGTTACAGACAGTTGTTAGGCTCCATGTGGGTGCTGGGAACTGAACCCAGATCCTCTGCAAGAGCAGCCAATGCTCTTAACTGCTGAGCCATCTCTCCAGCCCCATTAGCATTCATCTTTCAGGCATGTGTGTCATAGGCCTCAGGATTTCATATTCTCTGGAATTCTTCCTGCCATTCCTCTGCTTAAAAGAAAAAAGTGCAACTCACATCTTTAAAGGTGGTTACTGTCTGGGTTAGGATTCTTGCCTGTAACCAGGGTCCATAAGGAGCTTGAGAGTCAGGCACAGCAGTGGATTGCCCTCGTGTTAAAGAGTGACGAAGGAATGAGGAGGGAATTTAGTGATGCTGGCATTTATAAAAGCATTTTCTAAAAATAATCTGGGATGAATTTGGAAACGTCTTGAAGCCTCATTTCTTTGGCAGTTGCTGTAGTATTTTTCTCTTTGATCAGATGAAGAACTGAATCTTGGGGAGCCTTGGAGAGTGCTTGAGTGGTTTGGCTAGTGTCACACAACATGGACAGGGCAGTGGATGCCAAATGGAGCACTGTGGTGTTGATGCTCTGCGCTCGACAACCCTTGCCTTGCCCCTCAGAGAATATCGATGTCAAGAGGAGGACAAAGTGGACTTTCTTTGTCTTCTCCAGACTTTGAAGTGCCCAGGGTGTTGGGTAGTCACAGCATTTCAGTCTCAAGGTACGATTTAAAGACCAGCAAGAAAAATAACAACAGACACTAGCGAGGAACTCAGCTTCCAGACACAGGCAGCCCTACATGCTTGGCTACCCATCAGTTTTATGACCTTGGAACAGATAATTTCTCTAACTTGTTTGTCTGCAGAGTGGGGAAAGGTGTCTACTTGCTTTTGCTGCCAAGATGCTACGAGTGATATCCCTGTAGACAGCAGCACAGAGCCGGGTACAGCAGCATCTACAAACATCTGAGTCAGATGTTCAATTTATACTTGAGAGTTGTGAAAATGAGGTACGTAACCACATTCCTCTGACCTGTGCTCCCTGATGTTGAACATACCCATCGATAGCTCAAACCTTGCCCACTTTTATTTATTTTTATTTTTATTTTTATTTATTTATTTATTTATTTTTTTGAGACAGGATCTCCTTGTAGGCCCAGCTGGCCTAGATCTCACTATGTAGACCAGGGTGGCCTCAGTTTTACAGAGGTCCATCTGCCTCTGCTTTCTGAGTATTGAGATCAAAGGCATGTGCCACTATGCCCAGCATTTTTTAAAATTACATTTTCATTTATGGAGTTTGTGTGTGTGTGTGTGTGTGTGTGTGTGTGTGTGTGTGTGTATGTTGGGAGGTGCCAGCAAGGGGACTCATGAGGTCAAACATGAACTTGTAGGAGTCAGATCTCTTGTTCTACCATGTGGTTCCTGGAGAGTGAACTCGGTTATCAGGCTTGACAGTAGGCATTTTTTACCCACTGAGCCATCTTGCCAGCTCTGCCCACCTGTTTTTGTCTACCTTTTCTACATCTGTGCAGGGCTCCATTCTATAGACTCTTCCATTGCAACCCCTCTGAATTTGCCTTTGGGTGCCTTTAACCTACAGTATGCAGATTCCTGATCTGCAAGTTGGATCTGACTCCAGAAATATTTGTTTTTTGTTTGTTTTTGACTAGCATAGTATTAAATAATAAAAGAAAATTAGTTTTTAAAACCAGGAAATTTTACTTCAAAAGGTATTATGGCACCACCACAGCAGCTGCCAGTTGAGCAGTGGAGTTGTGTATCACCTCAGGTCACTCCAGTTCCCATCCATCCCTGAAGCCTTCATTTGCTTTTGTAATCTAGCCATTCTGAATCCAAAAAGGCAGTAACTGGTAGAATGACTTAATGTAGTATGTGACCTTTCTATGTTCCTCCTATGCTCCATTAATGTATGTGAACTGCCTTATATTTATAAAGTGTGCTTCTTACCACCCATCAAAGAGCCCTTTTTTGCAACAGACGGACACTATTACAAAGTTCCAGAACTGGTTAAATGCGGAGAACAAGTGGTTGTGAGGTGCCCAGTCCTAAGTGACACCCATGCAATGCAACCTCTACATCCAAGGCTCACCCTTGAGCCTTGGTGTGTAGACTGTAGGCACTGTTGTGACAGTGTGGTGTGCTGTTAATTAAGCAGGGAGTTATTTTTAGATGTGTGTGTTCACCAACATCATGGACGATGGGGTGGAAAGAACGTAAGAGCCAGAGGGACAAGACACCTCTGCTAGGTAATGCATTCTAGACACGACGGGGAAGCTGCGCCAATGGACTCTCCACAGCATTGTTGTCTAACGAGATCTGCATAGTGACAAAACAGTGCCAAGGTGGATGGGGGAATGCCATGGAGCCCCAGTTCAAGATGGAGAGTTACAGGCAATCAATGAATTCCGAGGGAGGGAGAGTCAGGTTTCTCCAGGGACCAGCTCCCGGAGAGGTTATCTATTCCTAAGTGGGCAGCCTGAAACACAAGTATACAGGAGCACCACTTAATGGACTCAGCATATTACATACATGCAGATTTATAGTGTATGTATGTATATGTAACAATAATAGTAATCAAAGAAGAGTACAAGAAATTGAGATGGAGTGGGGGACATGGGAGGAGTTGGTGGGGGACTGGGAGGGATGGGAATGATGCGAAGACAGTACTCATGTATGAAATGCTCAAAAAAAAAATTAAAAAGGCAACATGAGTCAAGGGTTAATGCCAGCGTTTTAGAGTCTGCACGTATCCAGTGCAGGTCTTGGTGGTCCCATTCAGCAACTCATCTGGACGGAAGCAGGAAACTTAATAAGCATGTGTTGAACAATTAGGCAACAAATTGTTCCAATCTGCCTAAGGTCATTTCCTGGCTTCTCTATTGCTTTACTCGAGGATGCTGGACAAGGAACTTACCTTTTCTAAACTTCAGTGTTATCCTATGTAAGATGGTTTGCTGTGTTAAATGAGATTATATGGGTTAGCCATTCCTGACACAAAATAAGCACTCAGTAAACCTTGGCTGTTGTTATTTAGGGTAGGGTCCACCCAAACTCTTCCTGTTTTGAATAACTGTCAAGCCTTCCTCCAGGTGAGGCTAGCTCAGCCTCTGGAAGCCAGAGATGGACTCTCCTTGCTGTAATTCCCATCTGTGGAAAAAGCCGGGGCCTGGAGAGCAGCTTTTTGTCCTTCTGGCTCTGTCCTTTGTCTCTCCATCTCTCGCTCTGACCTTCTGCACAGCATGACTTCTGCTCCACAGCAGCTTCCTTACTTAGCACAGAGTTAATTTCCCCCTCAGATACCCTTCTCTACAGTCGCCTGTGTTATTTCCCCATAATGTTCAAATGATTTCATCGAACTTTTTAACGCCTGTGAAAGATGTGGAACCAATAGTCCTAGGTCTGGCCAGCAGTTTTAATTAGAGTGACTGTGTGGTGTACTGTTAATTAAGCAAGGAGTTATTTTTAGATGTGGGTGTTCATTAGTCCTTTGGAGTACTTCTTCCTTCAGATTTTTTTTTAAACAGGTTAACTTATGGCCTGGTTAGAAGCAATTAACTCTTTATCTTCTGTTTGTGCAGCAGATTCACTTCTGGGATTGTGTTGCTAGAAATCAGAGAGAGGTGGGAATGGATATGTTGTCTCTTCTCTGAGGCAGTTCTCTCCCCAAACCAGGGCTCCATGCTGAGAGTATCACTTTAAAACAAGGGGCTTCTGAGCTTTGTAACAGAATCCAGCCCTGTGAAACTGAACCAGCAAAGATGTACAGTGCTACCATCACGGAATGGTCCTCTGGCAAATTTGTACCCCTGGCTGTCTCTAGTGTATTGGAGATTGAATCAAATTGAACTTAAAGATCACTTTTATAAAAACTGAGTTAATACTATAGAAAGTAAACACGTTTATATGCTTATATATATGAGTCATATGTGACTTTAAAAATAGATGAAATCTTTAAAAGGGATATACTCTCATGATTTCACTTTGCATATGGTTTGTTTCATTTATAGAACATCCTCAAACAAGCCGGATTATAGAAATGGAGAACAGATAAGTAGTCTCCAGGTGTTAAGGATAAGCTATGACTGTAAATTTATAGAAAGACCATTCTTTGGAGTGATGAATTAATTCTATGATTTGATCGTAGTGTGCTTACAGGACCCATTACATTTGACAAAACTTTGCAGAACTAAGCATACACGCACACACACACACTCACACACACACACACACACACACACACAATGAAAGAAAAATGAAAAAGCTATCAAATTTTTTATATGTTAGTACACATAAATATTGCACAACAAACAAAACCTGTACTGCTATTTGGCATAGAGTCATTAGCTGTAGCTAGAGAAGCAAATCAACAATTATTTAATCAAGTCACATTTATAGCTGATGTTAGTGGAAAAAGCTTCGCTGTCTGTTTTATTATAGTTTTGGTGCCTATTAATGAATAGTAATGTATTTAAATTTCCTACAAGTCTGTTATAATTTCAGCACCTTGCATTTTGCTTTGGGCTTGAGTCAATAAGTTCATGTGGTTCTGCCTGGGACCAAGGCATAAAAATGTTGAATTAAGAAAGGGTTATTTTCTTTTTTTCATTAGAACCAAACAGAGCTTTAATGCATGAGTTTATAAAGGCTTGTTCCTGTTGTGAACATTAGCCCCTGTGTGGTTAGTCATCGATAACACAGAATTTGTGGGAAATCTCTCTTTTTGCTTTGCCTTTATCACCATCATCCTACTTCTATGTGGTTATTGACTGTGATTGATTTTTAGGAGTTGGGGTAACTGAGGAGACCCCCCTTTTCTCCATTTTACTCCTTTTTTTCTTGGTAACATTAACTCCATCAACATACCCAGTTTCCACCAATTGTGAGAGATACAAGCTTATCGCCCCTGATTTCTGTCCTTTCTACACATCATTCCCTTTCAGTAATCCTTCACATCAATTCTCAGTGTATTCATGGGGTTAGAGTCCTGTTTCTCACAGGGGATGGTGATCTTTTAAATAATATGATGTGTTAGTTCACTTATAGCTAGTTCCTAAATCAGATTCTCAGAGAAAAGCAACATATTATAACAATTTGTTACATTTAGAGTTCCAACAATTGAATATGCCTAAGAAAAGTTAAATAATGGTCCATTGACATTGGAAGAAGCGGGATAATGTTTAACCTAAGAAGGGGATTTGTAGACTGTAGTAGAATTTCAGTTACCTTGATACCTCAGAAAGCTAGAGAATTTTTTAGGGGTTCAAGTAGTAGAGTGTTACTGTTTGAATAACAATAATTAAGCAGTTGTCTAAATTAAGCAGAAAACTTTCTTTACATCTATATATTCAACAATGTGTTGAAATTTAAAATTTGTGTAAACTAGAATATGGAGAATCTGTCTGCAAATCTTAGCAACCTTACTGGATTTAAGTTCTCTGAAAGCAGGGATTATATCTTTTTAAAAATCTTTTATGGCTTTATTTGACAATACTACATACTATTTTCATACTAATATGATGATTAGTATAGCCAACTAGCACATTGAATTTTTGAAAACATAGATGTAAACACAATACTGTACAGGAAAAGAAAATGCTAAAACCACTAATTGCTGTATTCACATTCTAAGATCTCTGGTACACTTTAACTAATATCACGTTCAGCAACAACAAGCCTTAATATTCTTAGAGATCATTTGGCATATTAAGCATACGTTATGTGCATGCTATGTCTACATTATATACATATGTATGAAAATTCAATTCTCCACCCATTTCTGAAATAGTATTTGTTGAAGATGACGTGTTGTGGAGGAATACTAGCCTGTGCTAGAGTGGGCATCCACAGTGAATGGTCATAGAGAAAAGTTGGTATTACTTTTCAACAAAAGTAAGATGGCCTGTGAACAATCCATATCATTACCAATAATGTTGTTTACTGCATTTCTGGATTTGTGTCTCCAACTTTCATTCCCAGGAGTAGAAAA